TGCTGACAAACTGATAAAAAACCAGGCCAGCAATCCATCTTGCAAGTCTCTTAAGCTATCATAAGGATTTATAGGAACTCATTATACAATAAATTATAGATATAAAATAGCAGGTGGTACATCTTTCAAGCAGTATGTATTAAAATTCAAATTGACAAGACCAGGAAAACAGCCCCCAGACCTAACTTCAATAACTACAGGGGGAGTAAGCTGTGGTTAAGAGAAGTGGAGTGTTAATGACAGCTCTGTGCCAGTAAACACAACAAAATGCCTCAGTGGTAATTGTCATCAGAACGATTTCCTTCCCTGCTAGTTACAAAATCAGATAAACTATTAGAAACACCATTTGTAAAACCCAGGCACCATATATTTCCATCAAATGTAGCAGTTGTTTCTGTCTCTGAGATTCCTGTAAAAAACCCCTTGGGGTTCTAGCTGGGCTGCTGAATACAAGCTGTGAAAATATTGGCGTGCTCATTTTATCCTTTGCTATCCTTGTTCTTCTCTGTTTCCATTCTTTAATCCTTACTTAGTGGCAGCCACTAATGCAGCCCAGTTACTTCTGCGTCAAGAGGATCAGGAAACTGTTTCCTCTCAGGCCAGATGTGCTGACACTGCTAACCTTGATTTCTATAAATGATTGAACAGTGTCTCCTGTCTGCTGTGCATTTCAGGCCCCACTTAGCCAAGATTCTTGGATGCTGAGACAGCTTTTCATCTTCCCTGTCTCCTCCTCAGAGTCATAACCAAGCCAGGCTTTGTCTCCTCTACATGTTTTTCCCCATGAATAGATCTTTCTCAATTTGCAAGGTTTTAAAATTTTCTTTTAACTATTGAAAGATCTGGTGTGGATGTTTTAGTGAAAATGAGTCACTAGGCAAGCAAAGGGAATTAAGTGTTGGGAGTAATCCATTTCAACGCGGATGCAGTGCAGTAGTTTTTGGAATAAATAAATTTGTGATGGTACTGTCAGCATTGCTTGTTCTTGAATCATTTAAAGCTTTTATAAATCAGCTTGGTCAAAAGGGAGCGTGCTAAACTGGCTTTCAGAGGCAGCATGTTCCAGGAGTGAGGGAAGGACTGAGTTATGTGCTGCCCAAAGCCAACTCAAACTGGTGGTGAAAATCTCAGTACAGGTTTTTCCTCAGTCAATGTAGCTCTGGAATCTTGATTCTCAAGTTGAGACAACATCTAGTGCAGTCCTTCCTGAATTTCAGGCCACATCTACAACCACAGTAAGCTGCTGGCTTCTGCTGGTGGTCAGTGATTTGCAGCAGCACAACCTGGCCTCTGCTTTGCCTCCTTTAGCTGGAGTGATTTAAAGACATTTGCTCTCTGCATCAACCTTAGCTGAGGTTCAGATATATTTGACCTTCATTTTGTAGCACTTTGGAAACTGAATAATAATAAATGTGTAGTGAATTCTACCCTGCAGATAACCAGATTGGTTTTTTGCATCCCTTTGAAAGATGTCTGTTATTTTAAGCCTCTGCTGCCAAGGGGAAAGCATAGGGACATGGAAAGTAGGAAGGAGGAGGAGAGTGTGGAGTGTAAAAGGAAGAAGCTGCCGGGAAGGGTTTGGTGGAAATAGATTGCATCCATTTGCAGCATTGTTGGCCAAAGCACTAAATGCTGAAAAGTAATTTGTGGCAATTTAGGCTTTTATCATAGCATGCATGTTGCTCTTGAGGTATATATAGCAAAAGGCAAGCTCACAGACTGCAGAGTTAATAACCTTAAATGTGCATTTCTGCAGGCAGATTGCTGAAGCCAATAGATATCTATCTAGATATCTCTGCAAGGCAGAGACAGGGCCTCAGGTGGATGGGCTGACCCTTCAGGATAACAGCACAGCTCCTTTCTCAGGAGAACAAGTGGAACAGCTTAGGAAAAGAATGTACTTAGTCCTTACAATTTTCATTACAAGTGACTCTGCAAAACAACTGTGTTGTTGGGTAGGTCATACAGAAGTATTTGAACATACACAAATCCTGAAATGAGAAAGGAAAGCAGCTCCTGGAAAAGACACATATTTTTTTAAATTAGTACAATGTATAAATTTATCAATCCTGTTGGTTTCAAGAGTTCTATAAGAGGAGAAGTAGGAGTGACTTTAATGAAGAAGAGTTACAAATATCTTGTGCATAAAATAGAACCTCAGTCCTCTGTTGTGTATGTGTATGCACACTGGATTTTTCCTGTCAGTTTTGTAGGTAGGAGTCAAAGTGTTTACCAAAAAGAAGAAAAGGCAATCCCTACTGGACACAGCAGAGGAAGTGGCATGCTTGATCCACAGACAAATGGCAGAGCCAGAATGGGCAGGTTTCCTTGACTGTTTGGTGCTAGGTCACAGTGCATCCAGCCTAGAGCTGTCAGCCCTTGGTTAGTCTGCATCAAAAGAGAAATCTGTCTGATGTACTTCAGTGGCAGAAAATGTGCTGAATGCACGTACCAGGCTGTATTTGTGGATAAGACTTCAAGTTTTCTTCATTGTGATGAGCTTGCATGTTCTGACATAGGTTTCCATATCCAAGATAGAAGATATTAGTCACAGCTTCTCATTGGGAGTGAAAAAAACCAGCTCATCTGTTTTGTGCTCTGTCCCTTGTGGAAAGTGCCACTTGGAGCAGCCAAAGTGCCATCTCCTGCCATCCTGGCTCTAGGGCATCAATAAACCAGCCTGTCCCTTCATTGAGCACAGAGCTTTTCTAAAGACACTGCCAGTTTCAAGTAATTCCGTATTGGGACAGGCTCTTCTGGATTTTTGTCTCAAGCAACAAGGTTTGGGAGAAATACAAACAAAAAGAAACCCTTCGTGGTACATTCTGCAGTGTGATTATTAGAAGATGCTTAGAGGAGGTAGAAAACCCCATTAATGTATCTGGTGCCACATTCTGACCAGGCACTTAAATGCTAACTTCTTACTTTTTGTTTAAATGCCTTGAACGTGGAGTTGTGGGCATCTCTGTGTGGGTGGGTGTCTCTTCTGTTCTTCAGCAGAAGAACTTTTGAATCATCTCATTTTCTTCCCTTCCCTCTTCCTCAGCAAGAGGTGGAAATGGTGATAACAGCCTGAATCTAGCAAATTTGTGGGCCAGAAAAAATGCTGCCCACTTCTGAAACCTGTATTTTGATTGTCTGCTATTTTTGGTATTCTGCTGGTGGCTGACATCACATTTATTGCAGAGGACTTTCAGCAGACTACTGGGACACGTATTTAATTATGGTAGAATAGATAATGGAAGTGCAAAGCCAAGTTTGTTTTTGGTAAAAATGGCATCTGACCATCTGGCATACGAGTAGCAGGTGTGTCCATCCTTCTGGTAAATCCCTGTTGAGTGTCTCTGTCTCCTTGCCCCTCCCCAGAGAGGTGTTCCACCTCCTCTGGTTCTGGCTCTGTGGGCTTATGTGGCAGTGGTGGCACATCAGAGGGCTGGGATTGGGATGCCACGTGCTGAACCCTTGCCTGTCAAGAGCATTGATCTTTCTGCTGAGCCAGGGAAAATTTAATTAGCTTATTTTAACATTCATGTTTGTCGTGTGGTTTGTGGAGTTGATGCTGGCTGGAGCCTCAGTTCCACACAGCTCATTTACTGTAACTAATTATTGCTCGTAAGTGAATGGTGCACTCAGCTGGCAGCCTCTGCAGTAAGGTGGAATTCATTCCATTGCAAATTTTTCATTTATTTGCTGTCAGAACCATATGAAACCTTCCCCCTTCAGGGCAGCAGAATCTTTCTGTTCTTGTTGGATGTTAACTGGGCAAACTGGTGGAAAGCTGTAGTTAGCGCTACCCCATGCCAGTGATATGGTACAGACAAGGTGACTAATTCAGTGACAAAGGATGACAGTCCAGGAAATAAAAGGAACCTGAACTGCTCTCTAGCTTAAGGTTAGTTACCTTTCTGAGTATGCATTATGATTCTCTCTGATTTCACACTTACATCTTACTTTTTGTCATTACCTTCTATCCTTCTTTTTAATTTGGTTTAGTTATATGCTTCTTACTACTCTTGCTCCTGGCAATGCCTGCCCTATTCTTGCTGAAGCTTTAAAACAGTGAACTCTCGAACAAAAGCATTAACTTGAGTCAGATACCCTGTACAGGAAATTAATTTCTGAACCACTAAAGTAAAAAAATGTACCAGTGTCTTGGCCATGAGAAGCTGCAGCCTTAAATATAGGTGATAGTACTAGCTGGCTTCATAATCCTTGGCGATACTCAAGGACATGGGGTGAGGAGAGACCCCTTTCACCCTGATGGGAGACACTTGGGTTTATGTCTGGAATGTTTTCCCCAGTGTCCTCTGGTCAAAGACTTAGAGAAAGGAGAGAGGATGGATGGTGGAGCATGCAGAGGCTGTTTCAGCAAGCTATCTACATGTACTGCCCAGGCATTTCGCTCTCATTAAAGAGGGCACTAACACATGTGGGAACCTTTCTTACTTATCCCAGCGATGCGTAAGACCCTCTGCTACAATTCTGGCATAAGATACAGTTTAAAGAAGAAACTGTGTCTTGGTATCTTAACTGTTTTGAAGTGTCATACTGCAAAGTCAGTGAGGGACTCTTGCTCTTCTTCCATTACTTTCTGTGCATCTCAGCAACCATTTTCCTCCACTTGGCTCATTCCTGCTTGGGACTGCCCTGCAGCAGAGTCTGCATGGAGCAGCTCTGACAGTTCTGCCAGTCTGGAGGGAGTCTGGCTGGAGTTGTGCTGTGCTCCATTTCCCTTCCCTGATGGACAGGTTTTTGGAGTCAGTGCCAGCTTTTTTTAGTGCTGGCCTAGGGAGTAAGCAGCTCCTTGGTGGTCCCAAAGCAGGCTGGACATAACAAGGAATCTGAATTAATGAGTCTTGGGAAATAAAGCTGGGAGGAAAAGGCATGGACAGAAATGTACACATGAGATGTAAGGACATTTTATAGTCCCTTACAATGTTGAGTTCATGCTGCATTTGCTGCATAGAGACTAGTGAGCATGTTTTTCTATTTCTTTGTAGGAACAGAGGGTTTCCCTTGTTTAACAGTCAGACTCAGCATCTCATCATCTGCTTACCCAGGTATGACCTTTTAACTTATTGACATAGTTTAACAAGCAGGCTGCTTCAACAAAACAAGAAGGCTTGAGAAAGCTTCTCTAGTTTCTGGAATACATAATTTAATTTTTCTGGAGCTACTTCCTGTTTTTGCAATATTCCTACTTTTAGAAAATAGGAGTATTTTAAGTACAGTTTTTTCAAAAAGCCTTCTGCATCTGATGGGAGCCACAGTATCCACTGTCAAAGCAGTTGCCTAACTTTTGGCTTAGCAAGAACCTGCTTACAGCCCTGGGTGGAAAGGGCCTAAGATGGTGATGATACAAAGGCAGAGCACCTGAGAGAGGTGACACTGCTCCTGCACTCTGCTCTGGTTTGTCTCATCCTGCTGCTGCACTGAGTTGTACCACAGAAAAGATGAGAATGATTTGGCAGAGTAATCACAAGCACAATGATTCCAGATCTCCAAAATCAAAAATGATTGGGTTGGATCAAAGAAATGCATGAGCATGAAAGTTTTATTCAGGGGGTAAAAGTACCTACTTTGCCTTGTCACTAATAAAAAGGAAGGTGTTGGATTATGGCAGTTCAGGACACATTTCTGTGAGATCATGCTTGAACAGTGAGCAAAATCAATCTCCTGTATTCTCCTTGAGTAGTCAGTGCCATGCTTCTGAGGCAGCCAGGATACTTAAAGATGAAAAAATTGAAGGATCAAGCACAGGTTTAAAGGAAGGCAAGCTGATGCTACAGGATGAAAAAAGGTGATAGTGTATGGTGTAGGATTTGTGTGGACGTGCACTTCTGTGTGTATGTATTGGGTACAAGGCTGCTTTTGGACTTGAGCTATTATAAGCCTGTAAATCTATCAATTTCCCAACCAGCCCCTAGTTTACTTCTGCATGCAGTGTCTCCTGGATTTATGAACTTGAAGGAAATTGAAATAGAGAATCAAATTTGGCTCTCTGCATTTGTAGGCTGTAAAAAGCAGGCACATAGGTTGATTTTCCATATGTGAACTTTTCTCTCTCACAAGCCGTGGCACCACAGGCCTGACACGGGCTGTGGGGGCACAAAAAATGTGTTTGTGCCAGTCTCTCTTTGAGACATGTGATGTGCCTGAAGGTTAAGGTGCTTCTTGCAGAATTTCAGTGCTGCTTCTCCTCCTGGACAGCAGAGCACAGGCACCCCAGCAGTTCTGGAAGGAGCCATTTGCCTTCTGGGCCTCAAACAGTGGGAGGGCAGGAGCCACCCCAGCCCTGGCATTGGCTCCCGTCAGCTCCCTTTGCTCCTGGGGGCTAGGAGCCACCCCAGCCCTGGCATTGGCTCCCGTCAGCTCCCTTTGCTCCTGGGGGCTGCCAGCACATCCAGCACCCTGCAGGCTCCTGCCAGCCTCTGCCAGGCAGGAGGGGCACCATAAGCAGTGATCCTGCACGCTTCAGGAATTTTCCCATGGCCTCAGAATACCCCTGCAGCAGTGCAAGTACTAAATGAAGGATTAAATTAGCCTGCAAGACTATAGTACCAGGCAGTTTTTATTGCAGTTGCCATTTCACTGTTGATAATGTTCCAGTAGAGATAAAGTAAGTTCTCAGTTGTCTGCTGTGCACAACTTAAATTGTCTCTGCCGGTCCCACCCTTAACTGACAGACCTAAATGATTGCTCTTGGAATAAAGAGTTTATCCATGGAGTGCTCCATAGCTTCTTGATGCTGCTCAGAAGCCACAAATAGTTTAAGAAGTTGGCAAGTCTGAAATGAAAAGAGAGAGAAACAGCCGTAGATCAGAAATAGCATTTTCTTCACAGGGTTAGAAAATAAAATACAGGTGTAAGATCATGTGAGCATTGCTGTCTCTCCTTTGTCTCTGCGTGACTAAAAGTAACAGTGAGAATTTGCAGTGGAAATAATGGATCACAGGTGTGGGACAGGGAAAGCTGTGACAGAGGAGGTGGGGGTCAGCAAAAGGAGATGTGTTTGCCCCCTCCCTGTGTAAGAGCATCCCCAAGGCTGGGCTGCTGGATGGGGAGGAGGAATAGCAGAACCGGGAATGTGGCACTGAGGGCATCAGGAATGGGTGATAAAGCTCTCTGGGCTGTGTGCAGCATTTGGAGGTGAGGACTCAGCTTTGGGAGAGTTGCAGCATTCTCTGGTACTGTGGTTTTGCTTCTGGAGTTGCTGCAGTGACTCCTCATGCTGGTCACTGTGCCCTGTGATTCTTGGACCCTATGGTTCCCTGTGCATTGTGAACAAACTCAGCATTTCCCTCTGACATGAGCTTTTCTGTGTATGAGCTGTGTCTCTGAAGGGACCCCAAAACATGAAGGTGCCAAGAGCACATTTACTCATCTGGGGTAAGCAGGAGCTTTTAACAGCCTTGTAAGGCTCTGCCACATTGAGATTACAGGTAATTTAGAGTAACCTTTTGAGTGTAAGCATTGTTTGAATTTCTTTTTCTGCTGTGAACCTCCTAATGCTCAGAAGGGGAGGCACGGAGAAGGGGATGGAGCTTGGCAGCAGCCATCTGGAACAGAGCCTTGAGGGCAGCAGGAGGTCAAGCTGAGCATGCAATGCACTCAGGGAGAGCATTTGTGTACTGATAGTTTGTTCAATTAGGCTGGAACCTCTTTAGATAGAGGCTCATCTTAGATGGGTGTTGTAAAGAGCATACGTACACCATAGCTTGTGTTTTAGGCTTAGAAATTTCTCTCATCAGTGATTGAAAATTAACATTGTACAGAAAGATGTCAGTGAGGAATGATTGAACAGTTTTTAGAAAAGAGATATGAATTGATACTCACTAGAAGGGTTTCTTGTAGTAGCTGCAGAAGAAATGTTGGTTTGGTTTCTGAGGAGAAAGAATTCTAGTGGTTCTTTTTTTTTATTTTGCTAACTTTGGGGTTTTTTTTGTGTGTGTTTGTTTGTTTGTTTGTTTTTTTCAGTGATTGTTGTAGCACTAGGGAAAGTTGGCAGGTTGGCAGAGAGCAAGGTGGAGCTTAGTGGCATTATTGGTGTTGTTTTCTCTTTTCTTTTCCCATGCAGTTGGCTTGAGTGTGTCCTGCCTGGCACTGGGAGGGCTGCAATGATGCATCCCCACTGGGTGGTTCTGACATGGGGCTGAAGGAGCTCTTGGCACACTTATGTCACAGCCAGTGTGGCATCCATTCCTCCTTCATCAGCCTTCCTCTTAAAAATAGTCTCCTATCAACCAGCAAGCTGTTCTGCAATCTCACTTGGAACAAACTTTCAGCTTCCAGGTCAAACTTACAAAAGGTCCTTGGACCAAACTACCCTTGATGTTTCCTCCTTTGTGTTCATCACTTAGCATCAATCCTCCTCTTTCCTCCTTTGAAAGGAGGCCTGCCATCAGTTTTGTAATCAGCTTGACTTCCCTTCTTTCTTCGGATTGTCTTAATAGCCATTATCTGTGCATTCATTCCTTTGCAAACACCTGTTTTGAACACAACCTGTTTTGAATAAACTGTTACTTGTATCTGTGAACTAGCAAAGGTAGAATTTGCTACATTTTGAAAGGTTTGAGACGTGATCATTCAGCAGTGGGAAGGACACAGAATGTCCTTTGTTGCTGTCAAATCATGATGATGACGGTGCTGGTGTTAGTAATACTGCTGTGTAGCAGACTGAGTCACTAGTAGATGCTTAAAACCTGTTTACAGCCAAGAAGCAAAGCAATTCAGGCAGAAATTGACAGGCAGGTTACCTGACTTGCTGCAGCTTTTCAGTAAACCTCTTCCCAACTCTTGGGATGCAAGAGGTGGGCCAGAGGGACCAGGAGGGGAGAGGAAGAAGGAAATGCCATCCTTCCTTCCCCCTCTGTTGTGATGGGCTGCAGAGTTTAATTTCAAGGAAAGGAAACAGTGTCCTGTGTGTTGCAGCTTATGCTTGATTCCTTTGTCAGGGTCAGCAGCCAACCCCAACACAGAACTTTTCCATTTCTGTGCAGTACTCAAGTGACTTTGTAGAGGGGCAGAATGAAGGAAGTGATGGAGAGTTGCTGAGCTGCATTTTGGTTTTGTGAACCCTTACTGCAGTTGTTTCTGCATCTCCAGCAGTCAAGTCACCATAATCCCTCTTGCAGCTCAGGAACCAGTTCAGTGTGCTAGTGCTGAATTCTCACAATTGTGAGTTTTGTCCCCTGGATGACATGGAGGGAAAGAAAACACCATGGAATAGAAGCTCATCTCTTCTAAAAGCAGTTGAATTTTTGCTGTGTACATCCTTTTTGAGAACTAATAATCTTGCTAAGGATTATAGCTTTAGAGCTATATGAAAAAGAAATTGCTCACACTCGTAAAAAGTACAGTTTTCAAAAGCCTTTGCTGAGTGGTGCACATCAGCCCTTTTTTTACAGGGGCTCACAAAGGCCTTGAATCACCTGTCTCCTCTAGTGGTCTGACATGTCCCTTGTTCATCTTCCAGCAAACCCTGCTGCTGTCTAAAAACACTTATTCCTCCTGCCACGTTCTCTTGAACTCTCCTGAGGAGCATCTGGTTCTGGCTGGTGTCAGGACAAGGATGCAGCACCCAGGGATGTGCTCCTGTCTCTCACTGAGGGGGGAGCTGCAGGTCAGTGCTGCCTGCAAAGCAGCTGGGGGGAAAATGATCCTGTTCACACTTAATACCTGTAAATAGCTTTGTAATGCAAGTCACAAGTTCCTAAGCAACACTGCCTGTAAGTTCAGTGTTAGGGAGCCTGACACTCAGAGTTAAGCCTTCTTTAAGTGTAGTTAAGCAGTTGTGATGGCAAATATGCTTTTGAAAGAGGTAGTGGGAATAATGGAACTGCTGTGAGCATTCTCCTTGAGAGAAGTTTGAGAGGCACAGGTTTGCCACTTATGAGAAGAACAGATGTTTGAATCCTCATGTTTTTTTCCAGCATAGGTGATAAAACCTTTCATAATCATGACCAAAAAATATTGTAGTTGTCATCTTTAAGATGAGTAATTTTTTTCCTCTCTTATTGTTTATCCCTCTGAGACTTTGGGCCCTTCTGAAGCTGGAAGT